ATTTTCATTTATTTCGAGATATGAATACAAATAAATAAGAAAAGAACACCGACAATCTACTCTTCATCCTCAAGAGCCTTGCGCTCGTCCTCGAGGCGGGCGAACTCGATCTGGTCAAGGACGAACTGGGGGATGGGGTGGGGGAAGGCGGGGGCCACGGGCAGGAGGGACGACTCGGGCTGGAAGCCGTTCTCGTCGGCCACGAACTTGACTTCGGCCAGAGAGCCGTCCTCCTGGGGGTAGCTGGAAGAAGATTCGTCATGCAAATTATGCTTTATAATAGAATTGTAGGTGTGAGCATTTACAACACACTTTAGGTTACCGTTATATATAACAGTAAAATAGACTTCAGTATTCCCTTACGCGAAGTATCCGACCATGTTGGCGCCGCCCTCTTCAGCCTCTTTGCCAGAGAACTGGAACACGATGCCGTTCTCGGCCTCGAAGTCGGAGCTGTGGGCGCCGTTCTCGTCGGGGTTCACTTGGCTGCTCCTCACGATGGCCACAGGAAGGTCCTCGGTGGGTAGTTTGGCGGCCATGGCCACAGAGACAAGGGCGAGGAGGACGGCCTAAAAGAGCAGGGAAATTATAATTTTCTTATATTAACCCCCCCCCCCCCATGTATGTAAAAAAAACACGATAGTTATGTGGTCCTTTCTCATGACGGTCACTTACGGTCTTCATGATGAGAGGCTGTGAGCGTGAGTGTGATGGTCAGCAGAACATAGCTTGGCTATATATACGGGACGGGAAGTGAGAGGCCGCTCCGAGGTCAGTGTAGCCGCTCAGACACTGTCCTGCGAGTCTGGGGCATAGCCTGTGATGTACGGTGTTTGGCGAATATTCAATAATGGCAACACAACACAGCACACAAACTCATATAACACACAAGCACATGTGTTTAAATGTGTATATATGTAAATATACATATATTTATATGTGTATATATACAGTACCCATATGTATACAGATAGCTGCATATATACGTACATCGATATCTATACCTATCTTTATTTGTGTGTGTTCCATACGGGTCCGCTACGTAATACTTATAAGTGGCTTGTTTACCCTCCACTCTGCCATTCAAGTGTCTTTGATTTTCGTCTCATTTATGTAGTAAATGCGTGGTTCTCTTCTATAGATTTGCATTCTAATAGTTTTTGTTTTGTTTTGCTTTTTTCTTTAAAATATTCTTTCTTTCTTTTTCTCCAGATTTTTTCCACTTTCTATTATCTTTTACATTTTTTCTTTTTCTTTTTTGAAATTGTCAACTACATTTTCTTACTATTATTATTCTCTTGTACAATTTTTCTCTGAAGATTTTCATTCTTTTCTTATCTTTCCTTTTTGTTATTTTTCTAGAGCTTTTCTTTTTCTCTCTTTTTTTTATTCTATGCTCCCACCGAAAACCGAGCAACTCTTCCTTCCTGTATTTTCCATCCATGCAGAATTACCTGCATAAGTTAAGCATCATACACTCGCCAGAAACATGAGCTCGAAGCCTTAAGTGTTTCAAAACTTCAAAAGCTTCAGTGTAAAAGAATTTAAATGTCAGTGCTTTCTGTTTAATCGTTGTTAATTAGTCGAAGCGAAGAATATTTAATTCAGTTTGATTCTGTACTCTACTCTCACGACAAAGTATGTCCATTCTATCGCACCTTTCTCTAAACCCGATATAAGTTCATATATATACTGTATATGTATATGTGTGTGTGATTATCGTTATCATTATCATTACTATTATCATGTATCGATCCACTGACCATGAGCTTGCGACCTAGCACTTTGAAGAACCCTTCTCTAGACTTCATTCTTTATCGGCATTGTCATTTAGAAATCTTGATTTCATTCTAAAATTGCATTCAATATCATGAAACACATATGGTTCCTACATCTTTTAAAATTTATCTTCTCATTAAGTGATGAGGTTTCGAAGCTTAGTTGTCTGTAGAGTCCAGGAACACACGCCAATGCCATAAAAAGGGAACATTATTTCTAAAACAAAAATGATAATAGCAGCATCCCTCAGATCAATATGATCTGAGTGATCATATTGAATAGATAGTCATTACTAACTAGACACACTACCTTTACTACCTGTATACTAGATATTTCGCCTGTTTAGTTTCCTTTGTAGATCTATCTTCGTTGCAAGAAAAAGGCAGTAGTGGAATAGTATGATTTATACTGAGGTACTGCAGGCAAAGAAAATGAGTCATTTTCGCTAATTTTGATATATGAGACGGGGATGTGTCCTGGCCCCAACACTTTTCAACACTTGTATGGACTGGATACTAGGCCGTACCGTGAATCGTAGTTCCTGTGGGGCATCAATTGGTAATTTCAAGGTCACAGACCTTGACTTTACCGATGATCATTACCAGTGATTCTAGCGGAGACATTAGAGGTCCTGGAAGTAGCTCTCGAGGCGCTCCATGAGGAGGCGAAGCCGTTGGGACTCGCGGTCAACTGGACCAAGACCAAGGTTCAGGAATTTGGGGACTTTTTTGGATTTTGATGTTCAGTCTGTGCATGCCTGTGGCAAGAACATTGAGGTCTTGGATAGGTTCACTTATCTTGGTAGTGTAGTGCAGAGCGACGGAGGTTCCGACCGGGAAGTCACTCGGACTGGCCTACGGCGTTATGGACTCACTCAGTAGGAGTATTTGGCGCTGTCGGTATTTGACTAGAACTAAGATCAGGCTCTTCAGAGCACTGGTGATCCCGGTCTTACTCTATGGGTGTGAGACCTGGACACGGAACAGTGCCCTGAAAGCCCTTCTTAACTCCTTCGGTACTAAGTGTCTTCGCAGAATCATGGGGTATACCTGGAGGGATCATGTGTCCAATCAGAGGATACTCCATGAGACTGATTCAAGACCCATTACCAGTCTGATACGAGAGCGCCAACTTCAGCTCTATGGGCATGTGGCTCGTTTCCCTGAGGAAGATCCAGCTCATAGGGTCATCTCCGAGAGGGTTGACCCAGGCTGGAGAAGACCAAAGGGAAGGCCACGGAACTCATGGCTGAAGCAAGTCGATCAGATCTGCCAAGATGTACTGGGAGTGGGAAGGAATGCTGCATGGAGGCTCGCTCGGAGGGACCCCAGGAGGTGGAGGCAAAGGTTGGGCGCAGCAAAGCGCAGCCATGCGTATGCCCCCTTATGATGATGATATATGAAAAAAATACAATAGGAGTCTGACCATCCACTCTCCTGGGAACGCATATTGAATAAAGTGCTATTTCATCTAGTGCATACCCAGAATCATTACCTTTTATATTTAGTAGGGGATGGACAGCATACAATAAAGGTATGGATTGTATTCAATCCTTTGAGGAAATGAGCCGAATGGAATATGGGTTGTGTGATTATTACTTTTTTACTCATTTTCATTGTTTTCATAGTTATCACTGACTTATTGCGACAGTTTATCATTATAATAATTCACACAATAATCATTCTCCTCGTCAGTTGTAGTACTGACATTAGTAATCATCAGTATATAATACTAATAATGAAACGCAACTCGAGTGTTTTGGATTAAATTAAGATAAACTAAGACAATGAATTAAGCTCTTATGCTACCATCCATTTCGTGATATAATCGGCTTTAGTTCTACGGAGTTCAGCCAAAGGACTTCCATAATTGATAATCATGCACTAGGCTGGGGAACGGAAGCCGGTAAAACGTTTCCATGAAAGATGAAAGAGTCATCGGGACTCAAAGGTTAAAGGTGAAACACGAGTCGAAAATTTCTCATCCATAGTTGATGAACATCAGTAATGACAGTCTATCAAATCATGTATATATATTGCCTATTTTACCTTCATCTGATATTCTTCCTTTTTAATTTTCTATGCACATTTGCATCAATGTTGTAGGTAAATATGCAGATGTAAAGAGAATATTCCAGTTTCATTTATTTCGAGATATAAGTACAAATAAATATATAAAGAAATCAAAAGGACTACGATCATCTATTCTTCATCCTCAAGAGCCTTGCGCTCGTCCTCGAGGCGGGCGAACTCGATCTGGTCAAGGACGAACTGGGGGATGGGGTGGGGGAAGGCGGGGGCCACGGGCAGGAGGGACGACTCGGGCTGGAAGCCGTTCTCGTCGGCCACGAACTTGACTTCGGCCAGAGAGCCGTCCTCCTGGGGGTAGCTGGAAGAAGATTCGTCATGCAAATTATGCTTTATAATAGAATTGTAGCGGTGAGCATTTACAACGCACTTTAGGTTACCGTTAGATATAACAGTAAAATAGACCAGTATTCCCTTACGCGAAGTATCCGACCATGTTGGCGCCGCCCTCTTCAGCCTCTTTGCCAGAGAACTGGAACACGATGCCGTTCTCGGCCTCGAAGTCGGAGCTGTGGGCGCCGTTCTCGTCGGGGTTCACTTGGCTGCTCCTCACGATGGCCACAGGAAGGTCTTCGCTGGGCAGTTTGGCGGCCATGGCCACAGAGACAAGGGCGAGGAGGACGGCCTAAAAGAGCAGGGAAATTATAACTTCTTTATATCGTCCCCCCTTATGCATGCCAAAAATACGAGAGCTATGTGGCCCTTTCTCATGACGGTCACTTACGGTCTTCATGATAAGAGGCTGTGAGCGCGAGTGTGATGGTCAGCGAAGGATACTTGGCTATATATATGGGAGGTGAGAGGCCGGTCCGAGGTCAGTGTAGCCGCTCAGACATTATCCTATGAATATGGGGTCGTAACCTGTGTGATGTACGGTGTTTGGCGCCACATCATAAACAAACACATGTACACACATTTGAATAGATATGTGTGTGGGTGTTTGTGTATATAGTGTTCAGATATGTGTATAGTTAAACAGTCCAGGTAACGTACATATATAGCACTATCTACATGTGTCTAATGTTCACCTGCGATCTTGAGGGCCAACAAAGAGCCACACTTGGTTTCCCAGGATTAACTTACTAAAAACTTTTATATTATGTACGTGTATGCAGTTTATTTATTGCTAGCAGCGA